AAAAGGGAAGAATAATCAATTCTTTGTATGATTAATAAAATTTGATTAGGGCATGGATTAGGGGGTACCAACCTCCATGGAAAAATTCCAAAATATTTTCTTCTGCCTTAGTAATTAGTACCTTACAGATAAAACTTTAGGTATCATTGCAAGTACTCAGCACATATTTCCTACTTCTAACCGACTGCAAACAAGTCCATGTCAATATGACTGAACTCGACGAGGCTATGCAGTAAGTGTAGACAGTCTAAAACATAAAATAAACACTTAAACTTCATTTTTAGGTGCGTTTCATCCTTGGAGAGTGAATGTCCAATTCTACATCGACGCCGACGTAACGTACGACGTTTGCATCTTCCCAGAGAACTCATGCTGGCCGATGGACCCGTCGATGTGATAAATCATGTAAGGGGGTGTGAGCTCTTTTAACGCAGAGATGCATGTTGTATTCGGAAAACTCGTCCACTTCTACATCTCGTAAAAGTTAGATGAGGAGCGAGTTTGATAAAGCACGCTTAATTGCGGCAAATTTTCATGCAAAAGCGTAAAGCTGCAGTATGACACATGACCAATTTTCCACAGAAGAGTCCTTTTTCAGCTATCGAAGTTGAATGGACAAGTGCCAGCTGTCCTAAACCCTATGCTTCCAATACTAAACGCTCTAGATATGCAAAGCATCCGAATGGCTACACTTTATTCTGATTTCGTACAAAAAATCCAGGTCAGTGCATCGCATCTGTCTTTCTTCATTAATCAATAAATCGATAAGCGAATAAATTTAGAAAATCTTCCCTCCAAGCCTCATCGATCCATTGACAAATGATACCATCGAGAAGTTTCTGCGAGCTATAGGTGACAATTCAGAGCTGGGGGTGGGCATCTCACCTAGCGAAGCTGAACAATTCGAAGGTGTCTTTGCGTTAAAGATCGATTATTGATTGTTTTCGATCAGCTGTCTGCTGCAAAATGTCAGAAATTTCAGACAAGGAGTTGATAAATCTGTGGAATGCCACTGTGAATGACTGGACTTCTGGTCGAATGGATTCGCCAAACGAAAATCAGGGAATAGCGTATTCGGATGTGAAACAACTGGTCATAGCTGCCGATCGCTTACATTCAGTCACTCGACAGGTACTGTAGTTACTTTCCAGTGAGGATCCGCCAAGGTTGTACTATACTTATCACCATAAATTTTCAGAATGGAGCTTCTGACCCATTCAGCCTACTTCATGAATATGTTGAACAGATCCTTACCACCAATGACAGTGGGGACGAGGTTGGTCTCAAAACGAATTATGGTATACGCTGTGAAAGATGTGAACACTTTTTTTAGCAATGCCTATCAGCAGCAGTGATTATCGATCCTACCGTAGTCTACGAGGATTCAAGCGTAAATATAGATGTTTATGTGCAGAATTTACAGGTACGGTAATTTCATAAGACCGGGAAGCGCAGATTATGCCCAAACGCTTTTAGAATGTTACCCTGACAAATATTGACTTATCGATCGATTTTGTACGAAATGATATTT